GAACTTCTCCACCTGCTCCACTGCCTCTCCGTTAATCTGAAGAGAGCAACGGGCAAGAGAACGAGAAAGCCCTAAGTTTTTCATTTTAAATGCGTCGGTTACTTTCTTCTTTACTTAACTGTCATTGTATATTTGTACCTTTCTGTAATAATTAGGGAAATTCTACTTATTGCATCACCTGCTTCGATTCACTATCATAAGGTCAAACGTTGATAACTCATCAAAACTTGCAAATATTAATCTTAGTCACTCTTATAAGCGCACTTACTCTGACGTACGTTTCAAAGTGTTCATTTAGCGACCCTAGCCCACCTTACAGCGGACTTACGCGATGGGAGCGGTTCAAAAGTTCCGAACTCAATTACCTCAGCATTACGGACAATCCTAAAATGGAGACTGGCTTTCACTGGCGCGGTCATGTGTTCTGGAACAAGTATGCTCGCCATTTGGACGCAGTTGACGTGGGCAACCTGAAGTACATTTCTTCGCTACAACATGAACTTGAGCATTACCAGCTGGCGACGTGGATTCTGTTGTCCACCACAATATTTTTTCTGATAATTTTGATTGGCCTCATCTGTTACTGCACTCGCAAGGACCCGGATGATATTGACTCCTGAACATTTTCTAGCGATCAGTTGACATCGCCACTCGCCCAACCCTGCCGTCACTACATCAATCGAACATAGTACGGTGCTCCGTTTCAATAAACTACATCCTCTCTTCCACTAGTGTTCCTGCCTGGAATTCGTTGGCGCTCTTTAGAGGCGCTTTATCTTGCTTCCGAGCGATCATTGTTGAACGTATACCTTTATTAAAACTAGCCAGACATAACCGAGTTGTTAAAACGCTGATATTCTGTGTTATTTTAATATACTCATTGAAGCCATTTACACAAAGCTTGTAGCAGTTTTTCATGAAATCTTGAAAATTTCAGCCCGATCGAGTTGAATTACTGACTCTAGTAATCAGATAAGTTTAAAATCGCAGTTTTGAAAGCTGCATTTTGAAAAATAAATGAAATATCTTTGAATGTTCTTCAGTGCTTAATCCAAGGGCAAAGATAGTCCAATTGTTCATACTCTGGTCAAGGTAGTCACTGTGTCTGAAGTCTTTTTATTTGAAAACTGTGAAAATATCTGATTGATTTCTAATTGATGATACCTTTGGTTTAATGCTTAACTCCCCAAATCACAATTTTCATGGTACGTTGCATTGTTACCTTATCCCTCGTTATCTGAAGAGGGAGAGAGTATTTAAGCTATACATACCTCAATTGTATTTGACGTTTACAACGTTATATGCGTCTCGCACCATTTGACTGAACAGAACAATGCCTTGTCGCGTCAAAGCATAAGTTCGTCACAGAAGTGTGCTAACATTGCGCTTAACTCCTTCAGTAACCGAATTAACTCCTTCTGAGTACAACTGAATACATTAGGTTAATTCTTGTTGTCAACAAGTGAACAACTGCAGATAAAATTGCATGGTAACAGTTCATACTGTTCTTTTCCTTATCGAATTGCATCGAAAACGAGACCATTTGTCGTGCTAGCATTTCACCTGGATCGAATAGGTGCGTGTTCACTCTTCAGCATTTTGTACATTACGTCACTTCTATCGAGAACTCCCCATCTGGTTGGAGGTCTTCCTAACGGTCGCTGCCATCAGATTTGTATTCAGTATTCGCATGGCTATCGCTATCGTTCATCCGTTGGCAATGGTATCACCATACTAGACGCCTTCTCTGCAGTCAATCAGTCATTGTGGCCAAATATCAAATATCCTAGTCACTTTCTTAAGGCGACATTTGGCAGATCGTGCTACTTCGCTCTTAATATTGAACTACATTCATACGCTTCCCTTCCGTCACTTTTAGTTTCTGCTTCAGATTATCCGAATGCTACTGTCTTCATCAAGATGTCCAGCATGCAAGCCCCGTATTTCCGCAGTACTGCCCCATTGCCAACATCTTTCTCCTTTCAGAGCCTGAATAACTCACTGCTCATTGCCAACGTCAACGCACAGCGCCTCTTGACTTCGTTTGTTACCCATCCACCTGAAGCCAGTGAAACACAGATGCAGGTGTTCTGGTACTTTTTCTACGGCCTCTGTATCAAGCTCCTGGCAGTCTGTGGTTTGGGTTCTACTCATTTCCATGCGTAGAAAGCTTCGTCTTCTTTAAGTTAATGGAGTGCCCCGATTAGGCCATTGCTGGTTCAGAGTTAAGAACGGTGATGTCTCGGCCTAGACTTGTCTGCTAGAAATAGGATATCATCCACGAATGCAAGAAAGTTTTCGCAGATGTTTCCCATTCTTGCAACGGTCGCAGTTTCATTTCTTCATATTGACTGGAGCATCCAGTCTAAAAGCAGTACAAACAGTAGAGCAAATTCACTCCTGTTTGCCCTCTTCTGATCTTGTACGAGAGAATTTGGCGTCGTGCTATCAGTTCGCCCCCGCATTTGACAAAAGATCATGTAACTTTTTGATTATGACAATAATCTTTGGTTGGATTCCATGTTGTTCACTAATCTTTGACGAGGCGCTTTTCCTGATTGGGTCAAGGGCTTGGGTGCATCAACCAAGATTGCGCAGAATTCAGAATCTCATTCTCTCTTATTTTCCAGCAACTGTGTGATTGTGAATATCTTGCACAAACACCATCTGCCGGTCTTGACTCAGGACTGCTTTTCACCCACTTCACGACAACATTTCAATTGCTCAGTGCTTCTTAGATGATATGCATAAATGATATAATCGCAATCTTGCCAGCCTGCAAAACGTTCGAGACAGAAAAACTTAAAACGATTCGCGGGGCATCTTAAAGAAAGTTTAGACCTTTGCCATCGTAACTTATCGCATTTGGACAACTGTTTCACGCTGGCCTTAAGAAACGCATCAAACCAAGACGTTAACTTTGAAGCAGATAAATTTTTAATTTAAAACATTTCGACGTTCGCGTGGAAAGTATTAAATTCCTCAGAAAGTTTTTTACAACAAAGCAAGCAACAGGAAGCTAAAATATTTCGGCTTAAATTGCTCTACTCGTCTGGAAAGTATTTTGGGAAAAAGTAATTGTTTTCCTGTTTTCGCTGGCTCGCAAACATTCCGACGCGTAGCTAAATAGATGTACGCGAAAAGCTGAAAACTAATTGTTTAGCGGCAACAGATAACATTTGCACACTTATATTTTGTAAGATGAAAGAAAGTGGAAAGTTTACTGCCTGAAAGAGGTCACAGCAAACCCCATCGCAGAATTGATCACAAACAGGTGAATGAAAACTATGACAATGCAACACTATGTTACATTGAGAATATCGAAGTAGTGTTTTCCGAGCAGCCTCCTGGTCTCTGAAGGTTGGCTGAGGCTGAGACAACGAATATTCTGAGCAGGTCGATTCGAGAGGATACGCTGTGGTATAATGCTCTAATGGACGCATTTTATGACTGGCGTTGGGCAAGGCTGTCGTACATTGCATGGGTGGGTTGAGTCATCCATTAGTACACGATGAGTGAAAAATTTTCCACATATGTTGCAAGGTCACTAAAAAGAAAACCGCTTAGTTTGGAAGCTAAATTTATCGGCCTCCTTCTGATCTTGAAATCACATACCTGCAGTCCTGGGGGTGTGACAGCAGCAGCATACGCATAGAGAGAAATTGCGTATACGTGAAGACGAAGCTTTTAACCGTATCTCACAGCGCCTGAAATATTCTCAGTTTTTTGGCATAAAAACAAGCCTTGCAACAGCGCTTTGATACCGACTGGACGTGCTCCTGTCAGAACAGATCAGGTGAAAAGCTCACGTAGAAATATTTGATGTGTTATACCTGGGACACTGGCTGACTGTTAATGTCCAGCACCTCAGTGGAAAACCGAAAGAGTGGCCTTTTCAGTGCCTAGCATCATTGGGTTCATTTTCTAGGTCTTCTCTGGCTTTCGAATGAAACTATTTGTGAA